TGTCTCCTCCTCTGCGTGTTGATATTCCGTAGGAATCTGTTCCCCAGGCTTTTAAACTTGCATGGTTTCTCAAATAACTCTGCTGTTTCCGTGACCATTCTTCCTGGGATCTGAGGAACGGAGCATCCTCTCCCTGTGCCCACTCCTGAGCGTCTCCTCACGTAACAGGCTCCTTATCCCATAGCTTTCTGCTTACGACTTTGAGAATCTTTTTAGTTCAAAAGACAGATCCAGGTGGATATTTCTATGTCCGTCCCACAGACACCTAAAAATAGATCCCTTTTCTCCTTGCTTTCGCACATGTGTTCCAGCCCCTTCCTCACCAGTACTCCCTGTCTTAATAACTACACCTACTATATAGGGATGTTCTGAGGAGTCCGTAGAGAATGCATATAGATCCCAGAGCAGGCTCCAGTGTGGTGTAATTTCTCAGTCGTGCTAGCTATCATTTTCATTATTTCCTTCATCCCCCGGATCCTGTTGGTTTTACACGTCCTATCAGTTCCTTCAAATTTGTGCTCTATCCCAAGTTCAACCACTGACCTCCAACCTCGACTATTGCAAGAGCCTCCTCACTAATATCCCTGCCTTGCTTTTCACCTGCCAGAGAGTTATTTCAAAAATGCCACCCCCCCCCCCCAATTTTAGTGTTCAAATGTCTTTTTCAAACAGCTCCCAGCCTCCCTTACTGAGTTTGAATTCTTTATACTGTATAGAAGGATTTTCATAATCTTTACTCCATTTTTCCTTTCAAGGATCATTTCCCAGGTGTACCCCCACCCCCAACACACACACACACGTACATACAATTCACATGCCAGTATTTAAACAGTTGTTATTCCACAGATATGCCATTGTGTCTCACCCGCCTATACTATTCCTTATGCCTCAACCATCCTTCCTGCACCTCTCTATCTGAAGAATCAGCCCTCCCCGAATCTCACTGGAAAACCTAGATGTTTCTTCCTCCAGGCTTCCATTACATTTTGTACATATAGCTCTTTAACATGTAAAATTGCAACTGTTTGATTCTCCATCTCCCAAACTACAAGCTTTTTAAGGGCGGGGCTGTGTCTGATGTGTCCTCAAGGTCTGGTATAATCCTTTGCACAAACTAGGTAGTGTAATAACTAGACATCATTGTTAAATTTAGAGCTTTTTGAGAAACGGAATAAGTTCTCTCATCAAATTTCTTATTCAGATGTTATTTTTATGATAGTTACATATTAATGAAATGGAGCTACATAGGGAATTACGCCTCAATAAAACCAAGGGGTTTACAGTCCCTGCTGCATATGTCTGACATCACTTCTTATTTTCCTCAGGTGCTACACATTTTGGACCCAGCTACCAGTTCAGAAAGCTCATCTGATAATCCATTTTCTGCGTCTTCACCAACCACCTTACTTGCTACAAAGAAAAATATTGGGCGATTTCATCCCTATACTAGATATGAAAATATCACCTTCAATTGCTGCAACAACTGCCAGGGAGAACTTATTGCCCTTTAACATGTAACACTGGGGTATGCTGCAGGCATGTGCCTGCTACCCAGGAGCCATTCTTAGTGGGGAGCTGGGGTTCCTATAATGCTAGAAGTAATCTCACTTTCTACTTAAATAATGAATATCCCCAAAATGTTTTATGTACTAGACTCCAGGTTACCCTTTCTTAATAAATGTCTCAGGGTAAGAAAAGAATGAAGCAGTGCAAATATATATAAAGTGGGGAATGTTTCCCGGGTATTACGCGATGCTTTTCCTAATGGGCTTTAAAAGGGAAAAATTATATACCTTCTTTTAGGCCCCAAATTATTGGTTATCTTGCTATATATTTTATATGCACAGATTTAATTTGGTAATCAAAATCAGTGATTGGCAGACTAGAGCCATGGGCCTTAGGCAGCCACACCCATCATTTACTGCTGTCTGCAGTTGGCTCTTGTAGTACCACAGCAGAGCTCCGCAGAGGAAACAGGCTGCAAAGCCTAAAATATTTCCTATTCATCCCATTACTGACCCCTACTCTAAAGTAATAATCAGCAGAGGGGATGAGGGAGGAAGTGTTTTTTCCCTTTCGGTGAATTTGGGGTGTGAGGGGCTACAAAGGAGGCTTAGGAAATATAGTAGGTGAAGGGATAAATCTTTTAAAAAGAAATACTGTATATTAGGAAAATTAGGAACTGACAGCCACATTAACAAGAGCTTCAGCAAAATGTGTTCTGCTGTTTTTGTGCAGAGGAGTCCATATTTTGAATGGATGCCACTTGATATATATAGAAGAAACAGGTTCTAACTATTTGCTCAATTTGGCAAAGCAACGAAATATCCAATTTGATATTTATAAAATAAGGTGGAGAAAGTAGGATCTTTCTAGGATAGAGTACAAACTCAAACATGTAACCCATCAATTAAATTTACATTATGTAAGATCCATTATTGTTTGTTTATGATGGATAATCACAAAGATCCTTTTATAGGCCTTTAAAACTATCCATAAAATGTTTATACCAAATTATACTAATTAGTTACAGAAGTGCCTGTTAATAGAGAAGCCTTCAAGAAACAAATCTGGTCAAAGTACATTATATTTTAATGTCAATCTAGTGATTTTTTTGGTCTGATTCGTCTGAGTTATATTTATAATTTCATGTGGCAATAAATTTCTCTATCTTCTTTATGCAATGTTGTCTTTTTTCCCCTCGGAATGATGTATTTCAAGTCTTCATCTAGCTTATACTATTTACAACTGATTCTTCAGCCTTTCCTTTAGTTTTAGTATAAAACTGGATTTGGCAGTGATTTCTTAGTTACGAAACCAGAAGCACAGGCAACAAAAACAAAAAGATAAATTGAACTTCATCAAAATTAAAAACTTTTGTACATCAAAGGACACTATTAACAGAATAAAAAGGCAACCCACAGAATGGGTAAAAATATTTGCAAATCACATATCTAATAAGGGTCCAGTACCAGAATAAGTAAAGAATTACAGCTCAACAACCCAAAAGCAACCCAATTTAAAAAATGGGAAAGGACATGAATATAAATATCTCCCGAAAAATATACTAATGGCCTATAACAGTGGTGGCAAACCTATGATACGCGTGTCAGAGTGTGGAAGACCACCTATTGTTTTCACTAGCTGATAAGCGTAGACAGAGACCCCCTCCTCCCTCCCAAGGCTGGGTGCCTTTGAAGCCCTAGCAAAGGTCTGAGCTAGGCGCCACCTCTGTTTGTCCAGACAGTGGTAGCTGAAGCAACTTCCCCATTTATTATTATGTAAATCCTTGCTGATGGGCTAGTCTGCCTGTTTCTGGGGGGGTCGCCTGCCTAAGGGCTATGCTATGGGTGTATCCCAGATCAATAAAAGCTTGGTGAGGCCTGAGCACCAGTGGAAATCCTTCCCCTTGAGTTGGACTTGCCCGCCTGGCCCCTCAGTATTTCCAATTATCTCTTGTCTTTTCTCTTTCATTTGTGTGCGGCTCCGCTTCCAGGTCCTGAACCCTGAACCACGGGTGTTAGGTCGGAGAGAGCCCAGGATCAGATACATGCAGACATGTGATGAGACAGTGGACTTCCCCTGGAATTTCTCACAGATCAACGTGCCAGACACAGATACCAGCTTCTTCTCCCTTAATCCACATACCCCCACACAGATACTGACTTCTTTCTGAATACCCTGGCCCATCCCCTGCGGCAGAGAATTCCTCAGCTCATGTCCCCGCCCCTCACCCAACTGCAGTATAAAAAAAGCGCCCCCCCCCTCCCTGTTGGTGTGAATCCACGTGCCCTGTCCTGGGGGTACATGGGTCTCCCGGGGACGCAGAATAAACCTTTTCCTTTCCTTTCTTTTCTAATTCACTGGACTCTATTTCTTGCGCTGCCTCCTGAGCCACCTAACCTAACAACGGGGATGTGGAGGGAAACACACCATCAGAGGTGACACGCAAACTCATTTTTTTTGGTTGATATTTCTTTGTTAAATAGCATTTAAATATATAAAATAAATATCAAAAATATAAGTCTTTGTGTTACTATGGTTGCAAATATCAAAAAATTTCTATATGTGACACGGCACCAGAGTTAAGTTAGGGTTTTTCAAAATGCTGACACGCCGAGCTCAAAAGGTTCGCCATCACTGGCCTATAAGCACATCAAAAGATGCTCAGTATCACCGATCATTAGGGAAATGTAAATTGAGTACTTCATACCCATTAGGATGGCTATTATCAGAAAAGCAAAATAACGCAAAAATGTGAAAAAATTGGAAGTTTTGTGCATTGCTGATGGGAATACAAAATGGTACAAACACTATTGAAGACAGTATGGCAGTTCCTCAAACACTGTGAACCTAACACTGCTGGCCTCATGGGCAAAACGAGACTAATAGGGTTGTTACCAACATTATACTAAATTATTTATGTAAAGCATTTACAATACCAGGCACATTATAAACTAAGAGCTGGCTAATTTTGTAACATACCTAAAACAGTATTATGCGTAATTGCCACTTTGTTTTAAAGAAGTCGGGCTACCCTATTGCTTATTGCCACAGCTAGTCAAGGTTAAAGTTGATATGAGACTTTGTATAAGGCCTTGAGCCAGACTTGTTCAAGAGGTAACTCCTCCTGCCTTATGAAATGTCCTATTGCAATTTTTTCATGATAATAAGAACTAAGAATAGAAATGTGCCTTTCTTGTGGTTCTTTCCTGTTAGAAACGTTAAAATAATTTAGAAGTAAGGGAATAAAGAATGCAGAATTCGTTCATTGTTCAATTTGTTGCATGGCCTAAGGAAGGGTATAACACATTCCCACACATCAAGAGAAGAAATTTATTTTGTTCTAGTGTAAAAAAGAAAGGATCAATCACTGTCAACATCACCAAAAAGATGTACCATTTCCGTAATTCAGAGGATAACCAAAGCACAGGGCCATACAAAAATAACATCCAAAATTCTGAGGATTGTGGCTTCAAAATGAAGTATTTAATAGATACCTTCAGTTGTAATGGTCAGTAAAACGGAAGGATCTGGCTTCGGACACATATGGCTGAAACTGTTTGGAACGCTTTGCTTCCAGGCGGAACTGTCTAGTCCTTTCCTTGACAGCTTGTTGCTCCACCAGTTTTTCCACCCGCTTCCTTCGTAGCCACCTGCGGGGACAGACAGGATCGGGTCTGGTGTAACCAGCATGTGTGCTTCACGCTGTAAGGTTACTGCCATAGCCAATTAAAAGAAACTGAATGTCTTTACACTGAAACGCTGTAGTCACAACACAAAAGTACTAACTGAAAAATTTCAGGCTTATGCCCTAGGCCAGCCGTGGGCAAACTACGGCCCTCGGGCCGGATCCGGCCCGTTTGAAATGAATAAAACTAAAAAAAAAAAAAAGACCGTACCCTTTTATGTAATGATGTTTACTTTGAATTTATATTAGTTCACACAAACACTCCATCCATGCTTTTGTTCCGGCCCTCCGGTCCAGTTTAAGAACCCATTGTGGCCCTCCAGTCAAAAAGTGTGCCCACCCCTGCCCTAGGCCCACACAAGAAAACATAGTTATATCTGGTATTGAATGTTTGAATTAAGTTTGTCTTACAATAAAATTGCAAACATAACATTTTTTAGTAATAAACAGTTTTATAGGTGATATGGGTCCTATCCTTTTTTAAAAAATATGGCTTTATACATAAATAAGTATGTGATAGATTCCAAATAACTAATTTTTTGTAACTAGTTGCATGCTAAAACCTTACTTAACCAGGCTGAGAATCCCAGCATGCATCAATGTTGCATTGCTTTTCTTGGTAGAAAATTACAGAGCTCTTGATTTTCATTGCATAAACTAGTTTTTCCTTAAAGCAGAAAAATAAGTCTAAGCATAAAAAACATCAAAAAATGGAGAGTCCACATTCTAACAAATTTAAGTCTATAAATCTTGCTTAGGTAAAATAACATAAAAAATAATTGTATACACACATATCTAGTATATAAGTATGTATATGGTGTGTGTGTGTGTGTGTGTGTGTGTGTGTGTGTGTGATATTTTAAAGAAATAAATCTAAACTTTAAAATTGTATTAGAAAAAGACACTTAAGAAAAAAAAAAAAAAGAAACATCATAACCCAATGCAGTGTGGTCCTGAATTGGATACTAGTTTGATCAAATTAAACTGTAGCCATTTTGGGGGCCAACTGGGAAAAAATGGCTACGGGCTGGAGGTAGATGAAATCATTAATGAAAACAAGCCAATTGAGAACAGTTTGTAAGTATGATCTCAATTTCTATTTTTAAATTATAAATACAGAGAAATATCTAGAATATATGCACTAAGGTCCTAACAATAGTGACTTCTGAGTGATGAGAATGCGATGTTTTCCCCCTCCATTTCCACAATGAATATTTACTGCTTCTATTATAAAGGGTTATATATTTTTTAAAAAGGAAGAGAGAGAAACAAAGAAAAAAAGAGAAATATAGAAAAAACAAACAAAAACAGAAATGAAAGTAACTTCAAACAACAGGCCTCCCACAGGCTTGCTGGCAAAATTACAAGCCAGGTGTGTTTCCTCAGAACCAGCCAGGGAATGCAGGGTCTTTCCCAGATACCGAAGAGAGATCAGGATTGCCTTGAGCCACCAAAATATGTACCCAAATCTCCTCTCATTTGGTGTCCTCAGTCTGACTGCCTTTCTTTACATAAAAATAGTTCTAGGTAAATGTAACTATTCAGTTATTCTGGGGACTATGGAGGAGAAGCTGTAATCAATCTTTGGCCCATTCCTCTAAGAAATGAACAAACGGATGGATATATGAATGAATGGTGGGCTCTCAAAGGCTATCACACTGGTGCCATAAGAAACAACGTTAGTGTTGAAAACTATCTTAAAAGAATGGTATCAATATTGTGCCAGTGTGGAATCAAAGAATCTCACACATTTATTAAAGTGGATTTAAAAGTGAATAGGATGCAATGTCAAAGATCCAATATTTGGCTTATTTTTTTTTCCCAAGCTTTATCCATACATAACTTTCTAAAACGACCTTGAGGGAGGGGTGCGCTCTGCCTGTGACTTACTGTTTAAAGGCCCGTTCACGGCCTTCTGTCCCCTGGAGAAAAAACAAGCATTCCTCCTGCTTTCGTAGTTCTTCTGTCTTTTTTTCTTTCAGCTGCTCTTCGTGCTTCTTTTTAAGCCATAATCGAAAAGCTTGTTGTGGGTCTCTGTTTTCCTGCTAGTTACGAAAACAAGCTTTGCTTAATTTGAATAAACCACAACTACATTCTGAGACCCTGCCTACAGGACCCTACAAGAATAGGTCCCACTCAAATTTTTCACAGGAATGCCAACCCATGATCTGCACTCCTCATATCCAAATCAAACATATCACATTTGAATCAGCAACAATGACTCCCCCGCCTTCCCCCCAACCCACCCCCACCCCACCCCCCACACCCCCCCCCCCCGTCAGAAAATTCTGCACTGAATTCACTGCCATGTGGCTTCTTTCAAAAGTCTTAGTGAGCATGGCCCTCCCATGTTTATTGCAGCATCATTTACAACAGCCACCTGGAAACAACCTAAGCTGTGATAGGTGAAGGGTTAAAAAAGATGTGACATTTATGTACAATGGTGTACTACTCAGTCATAAAAAAAGATGACATACTGCCATTTATGACAACATGGATGGATCTCAAATGTACTATGCTAAGTGCAATGAGTCAGATGGAAAGGGACAAAAAACCATGATTTCACTCATTTTTATGGGGAATATAAAACAAAAAAGAAACAAATGAACAAACGAAACAAAATAAAAACAATGTTAGGTACAGAAAATATATAGATGGTAATAGAGGGGAAGGCAGTGGGAAGAGAGCAAAATGGGTGAAGGGATCAATTGTGTGGTGATAACTGGTGAGCACACTACTGTTATTAACCAATATTCTCTCAATAAAAAATACATGCATACATAGAAGAAAAGAAATAAAACAATACAGTATAACAGCTATTTGCATATCATTTACATTCTATTAGGTATTATAAGTAACCTAGAGATGATTTAAAGTGTACGAGAGGCCCTGGCCGGTTTGGCTCAGTGGATAGAGCGTCGGCCTGCGGACTCAAGGGTCCTAGGTTCGATTCCAGTCAAGGGCATGTACCTTGGTTGCGGGCACATACCCAGTAGGGAGTGTGCAGAAGGCAGCTGATCAATGTTTCTCTCTCATCAATGTTTCTAACTCTCTGTCCCTCTCCCTTCCTCTCTGTAAAAAATCAATAAAATATATTTAAAAAAAAATAAAAAAATAAAGTGTACGAGAGGATTATGTAGGTTATATGCGAATACTACACCCTTTATATAAGGGCCTTGAGCATCCAGGGATTTTGGTATTGCAGAGGGACACAGGGATCAATCCCACACAGGTACTGGGGGACGACTGTCATCAATAAATGAAGGTCTAGCCGAAACCGGTTTGGCTCAGTGGATAGAGCGTCGGCCTGCGGACTGAAAGGTCCCAGGTTCGATTCCGGTCAAGGGCATGTACCTGGGTTGCGGGCACATCCCCAGTAGGAGATGTGCAGGAGGCAGCTGATCGATGTTTCTCTCTCATCGATGTTTCTAACTCTCTATCTCTCTCTCTTCCTCTCTGTAAAAAATCAATAAAATATATATAAAAAAAATAAAATAAAATAAAATAAATGAAGGTCTAAACATAGCGACTTGCAAACTTTGCAAAGTTGAGCCCTTTGACAAGAAAAAATAATTTTGCACAAACAAATAAAACAGTTGGAGAAAGGCAGTGTGAGTAGAGTTGAGGTCTTTGTAGCAATCTGAAGAATGTCCGTGGAATACAGTCTGAAAACCAAAGATCCAACACTTACGTTATTCAGCCTTTCTTTAGATGCTAACTTTGGGGTTCAGACCCCAGAGTTGTCAGTGGGAACCCGCCATAGCTGAGCTATCCCTCCAGAACTTCAGCTGCTGCCCGGGCAGCCTCCAGGCGATTCTGACTTCCTACCAGTTTGTATGTGGTCTCCACTTTACATCCTTGGTTATCAGGGCTCTCTCCAGCTGGTCTTCATTTGATTATTCGGGATGGTTTTTCTATATTTTAGTTGTAATTCCAGTTTGGTCCTGGGAGAGTATCAGTGTAGCTTCCACTTCATCTGCCGCCACCATGGTTCTTCACGAGATCCCAGCTTTGATTTTTAGCTTTGAGAGCATCTAGCTGCCCAGCCCACCTCCAAAGCTGTAACTACTCTTATGGAGAGTGGCTTTAGCATTTGCAGCCGTACAATGTCTCATCAGGGTAACAGCCATGAAGCTTTGTCATAAGCAGCAGCTAGTGGGAGTAGCCCATTGTGTTGAAAGAGCTTATTTGGGAGAATAAAAAGAGCAAAGGGACAGATCTGGGGCCTTGGGATGGATGCCTGGCTAGAACACTCATTTAATACTTCCCCCAAATATGAGCCCGTGGTGGAGAAGACCTTCTCCTACACCTTGCATTTTCCTTTACCTGTGACCCACATGGCAAAGCATGCTGGTCTCAGTTATGAAATGCATGTGACCGAGGGTCTTTTGTGTACGACGCTGAACCTGGTGAAGAGGACTCATGGACCTAAAGGATATCGCTGAACACCTAGAAATCGCAGAGTGGCTGCAGATGACAGAAAGTGTTCATCTGGAATTATAGACCAGAAGAGTCAGGAATTCAGGAACCACAGGATTGATGGGTATCTCTGTCCATTTATTCATTCAATGGATATTTACAGAGTATCTATTATATAGACTATCTACAGGCACATGAGTACTCGGTCACATCAATGAAAAAACCAGGTCAGCTCTCCCATACATCCTAGGCCGATACTGTACAATGCAGTAGCTGCTAGTGGCATGTGGCTACTGACAGAGAAAATTACACACTCAGCACCTTGGTCACATTAGCTCCATTTCCAGGGCTTCACAGCCACACTGTGGCTTGATCGCCAGCACAGGTACAGGGCGTTTCCATCAGCTCAGAAAGCCACACTGGCAAGTGTTGCTCTAGACGAGCAGGTAAGAATAGATGATTGATCGACTGACTGGTATGTCAGATGCAAAGAAAAGTGTGGTAAGGAGAGAAACTAATCATGGGAAGGTGAGGAGAAAGGACGGTATTTAGAGAGAAAGTGAGGGAGCGAGTTTGGAGACATCTGGGCAGAGTCTTCCAAGCACTGGTAACACAGCAAAGGGCCAGACGAGGGGCTGTGTTTTGCACGTTCAATAAAAAGCAAAGTCAAAATGAAGCTGTCGCAAAGGGGCTGGCAAGTGGAAGGAGACGAAGCCAGAATAACAGGGATCCGACAGTGCACAACCTTGTAGGCGGTGGTAGGCACTGGGACTTTATTTGGAGATGAGGAGCCACTGGAGGTTCTGAGCGTACGTGATGCAATCTACTCCGCATTTCAGAGGCTCACCCTGGCTGCTGTGCTGGAGACGGGATGGAGCTGGGGGCAAGGTGGAAGAAGGAGCAGCAGTTACCAGGCTTTTGCAGCGGGTCAGGCAACATGCAGGGGTGGTTTAGATGAAGATGGTGGGACTCGGGATGTAAGTTGAAGATAGAATAGACAAAATTTTCTCCTAGACTGAATGTAGGGTTTTATATTGTGCTTTACTAGATTATGTTTTAATATTTCCAGGATTTGTTTTTATATTTTTATCAATACAACCATATAAAACCAAACATTTCTGCACTGCAAAACAAAACAAAAAAAATGAAAAACCAAAGGAAAAAAGTAATGCAGATTTCTCAAAGAAGGTTTCCTAACAGAAAAGTTGATAAAGAATTTTTCTATGAAAAGAATATTCAAACAGCTCAGAGGTGATCAGTCTTGCTGAAAATAACACTGCAATGCAACAACATTTCCTACCTATCATGTTGGTAAAAATAAAAACCCTTGAAATCACACTTCTTAATGCAGGTGCAGGGGTATTTGTGTGTGCACCCCATCTTTGCCCTATTTGAATATAAAAGTTACACTGTCTAAAAAAATTGGTAGCTTTCCCTATTTGGTGCTATGACAGTTTAAACGAAATAGGAGTCACTGGATTTTTGCAAGGCTTCTTAGGATGCGCCTGATGCATCTTGTGCGAGGGTGGTTCCTGGACCAGTCTCTCTACTTCTCGCAGAGGTTCTTAGTCTGACATTCCGATGCCCTTCCGTAAACAAACCCCGCCTCCATCTCGGTATGAAGTTAATTTCATAGAAGTTTTACTTACTCTGCTGCTCATGTCTTCAATTTCCTTTGCTCGCTGAATTCTCCTCATTTCTACAACCTGCTCTCTTTTCTTTTGCAACCACGCTTTAAATACTATGTCGTTCTCCTTTTTCTTTTCTTTCTCTTCTTCTATTTTCCGTAGTTCTTCCTGGTGGAAAGAACATCAAAAGGCATTAATAAAAGATTTAAAAATCGTAGGTGAGTCCTTAGAGTAGAGAGAGATATTTTGAGATCTGAAGTTAGAATTCCCTGCCTCTAAAACTTTCCAACGAAAAGCTAGGTGTTCTTTAATAATAATAATAATAATAATAATAATAATAATAATAATAGTAATAATAATAACAATGCCTCTAATTTGCTTAGGAAGAGAATAAAGATTTTTTAAGATAAATCAAACTGTAGAGACAAAGGCTACAATTATATGGGTGTATAATACATACTGTCCAGGAATTCCTTGAATCTCTCCTCCACTTCCTACTTTAATTTTAGTCTTAAATGCAGCTAAGCCACAAAAGCACTGCATGATGTCCGTAAAAGCAGAAAGATGTTCTAAATGTTTTTCTACTATTGTTACATTTGTTCATTGTAATAAATGGCATTGTGGTTGCAAAAGAAAAGGTGGCAGGCACTTAGAGATGTACTTTGAAGGGTGTAAGTGAGCCACCATGTGCTGTCTAGGACCTGCTCTGAAAAGTCCTTAGCCCACGAAGGAGATGAAGCAAATACGCCAAAATCGCAGCGATTTCTGAATCCGGATGAGAACAGAGGGTTAGTTGCACCTTGAGATATGTTTGGAATTTTTATTAGTATGTTTAAACATATTTTCAGCTAGCATATATTCATAAATTAACACTTTGCTATCAGGAAAAATGTTTAGATAATTAGTTAAATGCAGGAACAAAATGAATTTTTAAACCTGAATTATCCAGCTAATCTTCTAAAAGGGAGTGACTTAAACCTGAAGGGCGGTACTTCATGGACCCGGTTACAGACAGCGATGAAGCAGTGCCTGGGAGCCGCGCCTCGCGGTGGTGGGAACAGCAGCGAGCTCGACCTGAGGCACTCACCCTGCCGCGTACGCACCTGCTCACCTCTAACCTGAGCCGCCTTCACAGCTCTCCAGTCTCTCCCAACACTAAAGTCATCACTGAAAGGAACTGAACGACACAATCCCTGCTTACATTTTCTCAAAGAACAGAATTCAGAATCCTTTCCTTATGCTTTGACAACAGAGAAAGTCCTTCTAATTCCTTTGGATGCAACACAATATAGGAAGGAAAGACAAAATTCTACCCTTGACAGCATAAAATACCTTTTAACATGCCTGTCTACTATTTCCTAAACTCTAATGGAGCTTACATTATATATAGTTCCTTTTTACAAAAAAAAAAAAAAAAAAAAAAAAAAGAACATTGGACACGGACAGTATGGTAGGACGATTACCTTTCCAGAAGGAACCTTTAGACACTCACACTGATGACATCAGCCAGAGCCCAGCTAGCAGAGCTGCCAGGGAGAACGGGGAGATGGCTCCCTTAGCAGAGGGCCAGAGTACAGCAGCCAGCCCAGCAATATTTTGTCAGGCATAAAAAGTAAAGCTGTGAAAGAAGCTAAGTAATATTTTTAAAGGCTTAGAACGTAAAGCCCATGCCTTCAGCAAGTACCAGGGAAGGGGAACAGATATGCGGATCTTTGACACAAGGAAACAGCAGTGTGTGTGACACCCAGAGAAGAGGGTCAAATGCAAACAGAACAATCTACCAGCCACACCAGTCACAGTTACCCTTAGTTCACTGGTGAGAGATACTGAAATGGTGTAAAACCTCCTCCACGACTTTTAGAGAAATACGCCCACGCATATGCATGGATGTGTGCGTCCAGTTACTCTCAACAGGTACTTTTGTATTGTCGTAAAGTTAACAGAGCCTTCAAGTATTGTTGTGTATCTGATCCGAGTAAGCAGAGCCTGGCTGTTAGCGTTTAGATACCAGTGGCCGAGCCAGAAAACACTGAGCCTGCAGCCTTTCAGACTCCGCCTGAGTGGGCTATGGGCTCCATGTTCTTGCTGACTCTGTTTCACTTTTTCTGCAAATGTGAGTTCCTGATAAATGCAGAGATTCCCCTGGTAGTTTCCTGCCTAAGTGGAAAATATACTATTTCTCAATGAATGCCAAGAAAACCGGGATTTTTTTACTCCAACTTTGCTACAAACAAGTTGAATGACTTTGGTAAAGTTACTTAAACTTTCTACACTATAGTTTTCTGATCTGCAACAGGATCTTTAAGCTTTCCTCTATCTGTAACATCCTATTAGCCCATGATTCTGCTGAGGTTTGGTATTTACAGTTAGACATTTTGGGTGGTTCAGCTTGATACCATTAGTTATCCAGTAAAACAGAGAATTTGGGGCATTCAAGTCATTTCAAGAAAACATACCAATTTTGGCACCTGTAGTTTTCAATTATAAAATACTTTTATTTTAGGAGCAAAAAAATACCCCAAAATAATAATTTTGGATTCCATAAGGCGTTCTGGAGATATTTCACTTAGGTCATCAGTTCTATTCTTAATTTGAAACTAAAATCCCTGAACTCAAGGGATTATAGGCATACATGATACATGAACACACACACGCCACAGAATTATAATCCAATTCTACCTGTTGCCTCCTAAACCCCAGCACAGCTTGCCTGCACGTTCCCACCTGACATTTGATTCTCACCTGTCTCACATCCAGGTTCCTTTCAGCAGTCACCTGACTTCTCTGAGCCTCACCTTTACAATGACAGGATCAGATGAAGTCCCCACTGAGCTCGACCCCCGCTCCAACCCAGGTGTTTTTACACCAAGGACCAAGGTAGTCATGGTGTTCATCCCGTCCATACACATCCTGAACATTCAACCCTGCATCTTCCGACAGGAAGACAAAGCAACCAGGCAAATACGCCCAACACTTGGAAGAAATACTTTGGTGAAGGACCGTTTCCATTGCTGCTGCACCTGTGAAATAGGAAAACAGACTCTCCTCTCCACCCGGTGCCCATGCGCTCTCACCTCCCTCTTCAGCTTCTCTCTCCTTTGTTCCAGCCGCTTTTGCAGTTCCTTCTGTCTCGGAGAAAGACAATACGTGGAGGTCACTGGACATACATTGGCAGACTGTATCCTGTGATTAGACTTCCCGTTCCCCTTACTGGGCTCTGAGTTGGCAGCGGAGCTGGGCCGCGCCTTGGGGCTGGGCGGCGGCGGCTGAGGGGGGAAAGCCGCGGGCTCCTCTGTGGATGAGCCCTGGATCTTTGCTGCAGGCTCTTCCTTCGTGACACCACTGACAGCTGAGCTGGAGGACCTGGCTGATGACTGCTGAGCATCATTTTCTGAACTGTTGGCATTGCTAATGGGGGGCAAGAACCCCTGACTCTCAATGTCTTGCAGATTCATAAGTTCAAACTTCCCATCTCTCTCGACCAGTACCTTCCGGTCCTTGTTCTCCTCACAGCCCCCGCCAGGGAGCGACAGGACCACACCTTCCCGTCCAGGTTCATTGGAAAGATGTAACTGCGACAGCTTCCCAGACACATTGCTCTCATTTTCAAAACGTGTGTAGTCGTCAGTGTCTTCCAGCGGAGGAACTTCGAGATCCACTAATTTGTCCTTGAACTTCAGTTTCCGCTCCCTCTTGTCATTCACTGGTTCTTGATTCTGTAGAATCTTGTTGGCTTGTATAATTTTCTCCATAATGTATCTCCTCACTTCCTCATCCTCGTCCTCCTCCACGTCTTTCTGGCTTTCCAGTCTGGATTCCTGGAAGGAGTTTTCACTGTCTGAATCTGACATGGGTTCCAGAGACTGACTGCTCGGCACGGAAATGAAGTCATTTTTTCTTGGTGAAGCCTCGTCCCTCCAGGATGTGTCAGGATCAGGAAGCTGTCCCGTGTGTTCGGCTTCTGTTTCATTCTCTCTTAACTCATTGCTAATGCTCTCTTCATTCCCACAAGCCATCTGAAAAAAAAAAATATATATATATGAGGTTCTCTTTTCAGCAAAAATGGAGACACTTTGTCTATTTATATGTAAAAAAACCAGAAACGGATTTTCAGATTCATGTAATTTGTTTCAGAAATGGGAAAATACATGTGCTTCCTGCTCGCTCTTTGCTCATAATACTCTAACTCACATTTGTGAGCACCCCAGGGGAAATGCATGGACAACACCAGTCAGGAAATTTTAACTCTAAATCTGTATTTGATGGTATTGAGTGCTACACTGATATTTAAAGTATTTTATGCCAATGCATGAAAAGGTAACTATAAATATTATTTTAATATTCCACCCTCTATATAAATTTTCCTCCCTTTACATTTTCAGAAGTATATTTTTTAATGTTTTTTTAATAATATTTGTATTCTTCAAAAAACAAAGTATCTTTCTCCTCAAGACCTTTAAAAGTTACTGTCATTGATCAAGTCCTAATTATTTTGAGGTTCTTAGAATCCCTTGAGATTATTATTGCCATTTTCTGCAGAACCCAAATCCCAGATCAATTTTTACCTCTAGATTTTCTAGAGAAAAAAAGTAATAGACCCTCTATATTTTTCTTTTTAATTCCTGAAGAACTCATTCACTTGTCTTTTCTTTGTTGCTCAGAGCTTATTTACTCTTAAAATTTCAAATATTAGCCAAAAGACTGTTTTTTGAGGATTTGCTTCATTTGTCACTCACATTAAACCTCCATTTTACCCGTTTATATAAACTAGAAATGAATTGTACTCATTTTTTTTTGCTTTTCATGCAATTAATTATATTATTTATATTATATAAATTACAATTTTAGAATTATAATTTTAGCTTTATTAAGTGCTAACTTAATCCCTGTTCTCTCACTAATTACCCGTGCCTTAAGATACAACATTTAAACTCTCCATGCCTCAATTTTCTCATCTATAAGATGGGATGATGTCATTTGTTCTATGTACATTAAAGAAGTTTTGTGAGGTTTAGATGAGATAATATGAAACTCTTCAAGAATTACAAAACACTGTTGCTGTTGGCAATTTATTTATACCTCTATTATGTTGACATCACTTTGTTCTTTTTCATCAATTAACCACTCCAGATCCTTTTCAAAGTCATCTTCATATTCTCCAGTTTCTTTGGAATCAGTATCTTTATTTTCATCCATTTTCTGTGTGTTAGGGAATAATGCTGTGAGACGAAAAGAGATAAGGTCTATGCTATGTGCACTTCAGGTGTATGTGAGTCTAAAGACCAATATTGAAGATAAGCTCATTAACACACAACATGGGGTGCTCAGAATAAACATGTGCCTGTAGACTTACAATGGCCAGACATTTTCCAAGTGTACTACTCCTAACCACTTCCCCCCAATTCCTGAAACCGGAATTTGCAAGGAGACTAAGAGGCAGATAAGAAGGCTATCGGCGGCTTAGAGAGGGATGTTCCACATTCCCCCGATAGCATTAAAACGCCTGTGCGTCAGAGCGCTCACAGCACATGACTCAGCTTCTTAGTCTCACTCATCTGCATTTTCTTATGTTCAAATGAACACAAGTATATCAATCCCCACCCTCAGTTTCCCCACCTTCTTAAAAAAGGATCTAGTCACTTATAGGCGTAACTATAATTTGTGACCTGAGAGCTTTTTAACTAAGTAATAACTAATTCTCATTTATGGTAAATGCTGGTTTCCATAGAAGTCAGGCTGTTGTCTACTCTAAATAAAACATTTCTTTTTGTTAAAAAAACAAACTCTGATGCCTAATACTAGAAGACAGTGACAATAAATGGAGATGTCAGATGAAAGTTAATAAATGTTTGTGAAATGAAATTCATTTTTAAAAGAGCTAAGCTAAAGTTATCTTCAAAATTTTTGAGGTCAGTGCATAGCCATGTTAATTTTTTGTGCACAACTTTTCAAACAAAAGCAGCATGTAAATCTCTACCTATAATGTGTCTGTATATGTGTGTGAGCATACCACATATATGCACAATTTTGCACACACCTATAATCTATATATATAAAAGCCTAATATGCAAAGTGTCCCCCCAGAGTTTGACCAGGAGACCGGGAGTTCAATCACTCGCTATGATGTGCGCTGACCACCAGGGGGCAGTGTGGAACAAAGGAAGGACCTGGTCAGCAGCTGGCTGGCAGCTGCTAGGGACCCTACCTGTGCACGAATTTTGTGCACTGGGCCTCTAGTATTCCTATAAAGATTATACAAGACCTCTGGCCTACTCAGTCTGGTACAGAAGGCAAACATAAACAAAACACATAAATTAAAAATGCAGGGAAAAATAAAAATGTAAGTAAATGTAATAAAGGTGTATATGAAGGACTGTGGAAGGGATAAAAGAAGCAATTAACTCAGTCTAAATTGCAAATACCATAGAAAGCTGAGCAGGGTTTGATTACTGAGTCTGAGAGTCCATCAGTTATTCCACACAAACAGAACAGCACGAGAAAGAACAAACACACATGGACAAGCCTGGAACTGAATATAAACATGCACTAAAGAAAGATCTGGAAGGAATATGGGTCAGTTTGATGTCATATAATCTTTCACAAAGAGAAGGGTTGAGGGAAAATTATTTATGTAGATTTAATTGTCACAAAATAGCCAAAGGTAGAACTATATAGCGATAATCTACACACTTCCCACTATTGACTTAAACAAAAGAGTCATGCTCTCTAAATGTACGCAGAATATTAGACCCAGTTTCAAAAAAACTGTAGAAATCTGATGTTAGGGCTCCAAGCACCTGGGAGCCTGTTCCCATACCTGCTTCTCTAGCCCCTCCACCAAGAATAAGTTGCCTAAAACCCACTTTGGAAGTAGAACGAATGGATGTCAAGAATGCGAGAGACCTCAGCACGTTGGTAAAGATGTAACATGAGAGCTATTGTGGCTGAATATATAAATTACCCAATCGGAACTTTGCTTTAGCCGTTAGCTTCACTTTGTTCTCCCCAAACATTTGAAGAGACCACCTTGTCCTGGTACCAATTTTACTAAAGTGAGATTTATGTTGTTTACCTTCCCCTGTTCACCGACAAATGATAGTGGACGCGTGTGGGGGGCCATCTTTCCACTGGCTGCACCAGACATGTGGCAGGGCTTTTCAGCACTACACGTGAAAAACACTGCAATAGGCTTGGTGAACACTGGGTTCAAAATGAGTTTAAAATGGAGATACCCAAAACGTAAAAGAGCTCCAAGGCTGAGACTGTGGGTGAGAAACAACACAGAAATCCCTGTACTGATTCCTGTGCTACTGCCCTTTAAAGAACAGAAGACAAGCTGGGACTCATTCATGGGGCTAGCAGGCCAGGAGAGGGGATCAAAGAGAGGAGAAGGGAAGAAGGTAGGTTGTGAGGTAAAGTGTCTTAGCAGCAGACTCTGGGGAGCACTTGAATGACAGTCTAAGGAAGCGCAGGCCCTGGATGCACCTGTTAAGCACTATTGAAAAGGCTGCCATGTGAAGGGGAGTGAACTTGTATCACGTCGAGTAGTACAATTAGTACGAGGGCTGGAAACGTGGGGCAGATTTAGGTACGTGAAGAGAGACGTTCCATTTCAAAGCTTGTCCTGAAGTGAGGTGAGATGCCTAGAAGATGACTCGGGCATGAATGATTTCCAGGAGATCAAAGCTTTAGAAAAGTTGAGCTAGATGACTCTTAAGGTTGCTTTTAACCTTTTCTATAAGATGCAAATGAACAAATAACTGCCAACTCGTGAAAAGCAAGAGAATTTTAAAAGCAAATGCATAGCACCACGATAAAGGGTATCTAACAATCGAAATAGAGACAGACCATTGATAGCAGGACGCCAGCTGTCAGTGGCAGGGGGGAGATGGGAGGCGGAGAGAGGGGAGAGGGATTGAGCAAAAAAGAATATAAAAGAGGGAAACTGTCATGGAAAAAGAAGAAGTGCAGAATAGTAGTTACAAAATAGTCATGGGGATGTAAAGCACAGCATAGGAAAAGTAGTCAATAATATAGTAATGACTATGTGTGGTGCAAGTTGGGTACTGCAAATATCAGAGGGAGGAGCACTGTGTAAAGTATATGGTTGTCTAACCACTATGCTGCACATCTGAAACTAACACAAAATAATACAGAATGTAAGTATATATATGTATACTATAAAAATAAAATAAATACTTGGTATCTAAATAACTAAGTTCAAGATTTAAAAACACTGTGGAGTCTGTCTCATTTAAATGTCATCTTTCTTTGTCTAGTTCTTCATATTGGTTTCCTTTCCTTCTCAAGACAAAGTTAGACTTGGGTAACTGAAATGTCAATTATTCAACTGGATAATTATAACTATTTCTAATGTATTAGTTGGACTATAATTACTTCTAGATATTTATTTCTTTTAAACTAAGATTACAAAATGGACGTTCTTAAAGGACTCAGAGTTAAGCTGTGATAATTTGTAAGTCAGAGGTTGAGAGCAATAATACTTTGAGGTGACCTAGAGAAACCAAGTCAGTATTGCAGAGTGAGTTTACTCACCACTGCCTACCTGCAAGGCAGACTAAGTCACATCAACTGTTATGCGTACTTACCTAGCAAGTGAAATAAGGTTGCCATGATCATGCAGAATAAACTGAAACGCATTGTGATTCAAAACACATACATAGTTCCATTTTTCACAGTCACAAATGCCTTAGGACCATCAGCCCTCTTTTCAGAGCAGGGATCTTGAAATGTACTATGTTAAGATGTTTAAGTTACATAACTAATTTTTTAGAATAAGATTTGTATGGAACTCTCCCATGCTTTCCCTTAACTTTATAATAAACAGAGTGGAACTTGTAAATAAATGGTTGTCTAAAGACTTTCATTAATATGCTTTATTACTTACAAAGAATCTCACCCATGTGAAAACTCAAATTTAAAGCCAAACCATAGCATAAAAATAATAAAAATAAAATGATGACAAATTAAACATATTAGGTGTTATTACGTCATACTAATATACCATACTTTAAAGAGCCACAGTTGAAGTGACTCTGAGAAGTAACTGATAGGTTGCATCGAATCAAAAGTGCCATTCTCTTCCTATAACTTTAAAAAATTCATGGCTCGTTCCCAAGTAAACAAAGAACATGAATCATACACTCTTGTTACCTAGTCCCCTAAGTCTCTCTCAAGTGCGTCACCGGATATTCAATCCCCTTCAGTCCCTTTAATCTTCATTCCCAGGGTACTGGCCATATGATACACAGCCAACATGCTCCAACAAAAATACTCCTCACACCAACGGAATCGCCCAACACATTTCCTGTAAGTTTCACATTTAAATTTCCATGTTTGTCCTCCTTAGCAATCCATGTAACTGGCTTGGACGAGAACTACCTTCTTAACAGGAACTGTAGTAAGAGAGAGGAATTAATTCCTTCTCCCTGGTGTCTGCTAACTCCCAGAGGGAAGTGACTGCCCATCTTTTTAGTGTTGAGCCTGAGTCCAGGGGTAAACACAATGTTGATAACTTTCAGGATTCACAACTTACAAATATAGTTTCATCATTCTAAGTCATAGACTCCACTCTTATCTCGTCTCCTTTTAAACACAAGGGTGTTTAAATTCTAAGAACATGGAAAGAATGTCAAAGAGAACGCCTTTTAACATAAAATAAGAACTTAAGCAATATCCACCCCGTGGTCACATCCCGAGACCACCGGCCCCTTCTTCCTGCTGCCTCCTGCGGAGACGGTTCCCAGGACTGAAGAAGGTGAAGGGACTAACACAGAACATACGAGCTTAACCCATGGGCGCAGGCAACAGGGATGGTGGCCACAGGGAGGGGGTCGGGGTTTGAGTGGAGGGAAGAAAGGGGGGATGAACAGGGACATCTGTAAATAGTGTCAACAATAAAAAATAAAGGAAAAAAAAAAACTTATAATCTGCCACCCCAAGCATGACGATACATAACAGTTAACAAACACCAGGGGGTCGTTTTCGTTGTATCCCAGGTACCGGGGACTCAGCGACGGCCTGGCCTCTTCCTGAAGGAGCTGATGTCGGGGAGTGAGTTTTCCGGCCCAGGGAGGAGCCGCGGGGAGGGAAAGGCTACGCAACAATGGCAGACCCGCCAACAGCCAGGCGTTGCCAGGCTCCGCGGGCGCGGGACTCGGGAGGATGCGGAGCCCACAGGAGGGCTCTGCCCCCTGGTCTCCCGCCCCTTTCTTCCCACCTGTCCTGGCCGCTCCCCCGGTTCACTCGCTCCCCCATAAACAAGTCCGCACCGTCCTTCCCTCGGTCCCTTACAGCCTCTCCTGCCTGTGAGGTGCAGCGGCTGAGCTCACAGAGATGGCCGGGGGTGCTCTCCTCTCCTCCTCTCTCTCAGCTCTGAGCAGGAGGCGAGGGAGACCCCGGCACCTGCTACCTACGCAGCCGGGACCCGGCTGCTATGGCAACGGCGCGTCTCAGCGTCCTCCATCCCGGCCTCTCTGACAACGAGGTCTGTGGCGCGCGCAGGCGCAGACGGCAGCCTGCGGCAGTGGCAGCGCGGACACGGACACTCGCGCTCCTTGGCAGGTGGCCTCGCAGGCCCTGCCGCTTGGTGGTTTCCATGGAGACAGCGGGACCTCCTCCCCCAGACGCACACGCAGGTCTCCGAGGGTCGGCGACTGGCGCGCTCTCTTGGTTGTGAGATTTCCCGCGGGGACCTGCCGCTCGCCAGTGTTTGGAAGGTGTGGGACATCTACGCGTGTTTCTGTACACTATTCTCTCAGCTGTTAACGTCAAACACTAATTTCTCTCCTGGGTATAAGCATATTGCGAATCAGCTATCAGATGTGGGCCAGAAGGTCTCCCCGTCCCGCCCACCAATCATAATCAAAACCGAATTTACGGTTTTACGCGTGGTCAAAGGAAATAGGATGTTTGCTCCAGCCTTCAAGCATGTCAGAACGGTCAACTGGAAACCTATGCAGTTGAAACCTATATAATTCTATTAACCACTGTCCTCCTAATAAATTTAATTTTTAAAACTCATAAAAATGGTCAACTAGCATTTCCTTAAATCCTCAAATATCCTCTTTATGTATAAAGAGAAAGCAAGATGGCCCCACCCGCGTGGCTCAGTGGTTGAGCGTTGACCTATGAACCCGGAGGTCACGGTTCAAGGTCAGGGCTCCATGCCCAGATGGGGGCATGCAGGAGGCAGCTGATCAATGATTCTTGCTCATCATTGATGTTTCTATCTCCCTCACCCTTCCTCTCTGAAATCAATAAAAATATATATATATTTTTAAAGAGGAAGCAAGATGAATTTAGATTGTGGTGACAAATGAAAGAAATTAGGACTATCTCTTTCCCTGCCAGAAATAAATAAAAAATGAGGATAAATGAAAATATTTACTTAGTACAATCCAGTGTTTGTTGTTTTTAAAATTTTTATTACAATTTCTATCATTTGATATAATAGAGCACCTTTTCATCAAAAGAGGAGCAATGTAAAATTGAACTTTTAAGTATTATCAAACTGTAACTTCACAAAAAAAATTTAAGGTTAAAATGGATTACATTTCCAGCTGCAGTGTAGAACTTATAGTTGTAATGACCTAATGTTTCTTCTGCTGCAGGACTCAGTCTGAGGCCACACACTTGAAAAGACAAAAAATAAAATGAAATTTTTGACTATGGTAGGGCAAAGGAATTTTAGTCAAATCTCCTTTAGTGAATAATGGAATTACTACCAAAGCTAGAGTAGACCTTAGGTTTCAGAACTCCTAGTTTAATATTTTTCCACTGACTCTCTGAAATATTTGCAAATGTTTGTTGCAAATATTAATGGGATATAGCAGCTCTCCTCATAACAGCCAAAAATTGGAGACAAATGCCCATCAAACGATGACTGGATAGATAAAGTGTGTTAAATATCCATGCAATGGAATATTTTCAGCAATGAAAAGGAATGAACATCGATGAACCATGAAATTATAAACATTGTTAAATGAAAGAAGCCAGACACAAAAGACCACATATTGTATGATTCCATTTCTATGAAATGTCCAGAACAGGCAAATCTACAGAGACAGAAAGTAGATTAGGGGTTGCCTAGGACTGGGTGGTGTGTGGGTGCTGCTATTGAAGATCAACTGGGTGCATGACTGCTAAAGGATGAAGTATATGGTATATGAATTATATGTCAACAATAAAAACATTACAAAAATATTAATGGAATAGTGGGCAAACAATCACTGGAGAGTTGAAAATAATTTTTTTAAAGAACGTTCTCAAGATTAATATATGGATTCTGTCTCTTGTGCTTAACTAGCTTATAGATTTTAATTCTGAAGTCTAGTTACACCATCTTTAAAACAGATAATATTAACACTTGCCTTTAGAACTGTGAGGATGAAGTAAGGTAATCATGTGCCTAGCACAATGATTGATGCATACAAAGTGCTCAATAAATGGTGACTATTACCATTACATAGTTTTCAAAAACGATGAGTAGATTCTAGAATGAATATCTTTAAATGTCCAAAATGAAAATAATAATTTTAAATGATGTGTGGAATTCTACACAAATATTCTCTACATTATCAGTTTGTACAGAATTGTACAGTTGAAACCTATATAAATTTTATTAATATATAAAATAGCTAGGTGGTGATGTATCCATTTCAAAGAAATGTACATAAAACATTACAATCCTTAGAGCCCTGTGTTATCTGAGTGAGTATAAAACCTGGATTATCTCTTCTGCAAAATTTAGATTTACACCCCACTTAAATGGAAGTTAGAGTTCCAGTTACCTCAAATCCAGCTGCAAACAAAAACAAGTGTAAAAACGCTTGAAAGCAATAATAAAAAGTGACTGCAAAGTTTGTGAGCTAAGCTGGAGCTGTTTGTGAGTCTCTCACAGTCCATTCGTTTACCTTATTATAATAAACTAAAGGCCCAGTGCATGAATTTGTGCACAGGTGGGGTCCCTTGGCCTGGCAAGTGATCGGGGCTGATGGGGGCTGCAGGAGGTTGGCCGGCTGGCCAGATCGGGGCCATCGGGGCTGACCAGCCGGGGGTCAGGGCCACAGGAGGCTGGCTGTGGGAGCGCACTGACCACTAGGGCACAGCTCCTGTGTTGAGCATCTGCCCCCTGGTGGTCAGTGTGCATCATAGCAACCGGTTGACCAGTCGTTCAGTAGCTTAGGTATATATATATATATATATATATATATATATAATGTTCAGGTCTGTGAGTTCCCAGCCCAGAAATTAGAATGTGATCATTGGAAAGGAAGGAAAAGAAAAGGGGTGCTTTGTTAAAAGTAAACACTGACACCAGAAAACAACAGAACAACTAGAAGGGTGACAGACTGACAAATAGGGAGAATAAGTAAAAAGAGTTCAAAGCAGGGGCTACCTAGAATAAAACTCAAACCTTGGCTCATCTTTTCTACAGGCAAGCAGAGACAAACACTGAATTACAACACTGTACAATCCGCAGTGATAAACCTGAGCCACTTTAAAAAGGGTTTATTTCACCATCATTTACTTAAAAAGGCAGAGAAATATTAGGACTAATTTCTAATACAGTGGGGCCTTGACTTACGAGTTTAATTTGTTCCATGACGGAGCTCGTAACTCAAATTACTTGTATGTCAAATCAATTGTGAACGAGTGAGACAGGTGATGCTGGGCTGATGTTGTGGCGTTCACTGTGACGTTCGCTGCGCCAACTAGCGGTGGGGTATCTGAAGCTGGCTCATAACCCGAATTTTAGCTCGCAACTCAAAGCAAAAAATCGGCTGAGAGACGGCTCGTATCTCGAAAAACTCGTTAGTCAGGACACTCGTAAGTCAAGGCCCCACTGTATCTGCATGAAGGAGTTCACACACTTTAAAAGAAGATGGGGTTGAACAGAGAGAGCACAGGGTGGTACACAAAGGTGCATTTAGCTAAAAAAAAAAAAAAGGATTAGCAAAAGGTGACAATAAAAAGACTTCTGCAGAGTGTTGATGTCACCGCTGACTTCTGAAGAATGAAAAAACTGCAAGAGGGCAGGCAGGGCACTGTACACAGACAGATGGTGGCATTTGTGAGGGCCCATCAAGTTTACTCCAGGATCTTTAGGTAGTTCAGAATCTCTGGCATGAAACACACAAGGTGGGGTGGGGCATAAAAATGCAATCTACCCCCAATTGCTGTGGCAGCCTCTGAGATATCACAGACATATGGTGAAAACCACTGCAAGACGACCTGTGAACAAACATTTCTACTAAAATCACTACCATCGCTGGGCAAGTTAAGCGTATCATCCATTTCTTCTAACCTGTAAAAACAGAGTATTTTCATATTTTTGTGTTTGTTGAGATATTTTGCAGACCTGCTCCATTAATTGAAGTTTATATTGGGGGCGGGGAGGTTAACTAAGCATTACTCCAGAGAAATTCAAAGCTTATGATAGGTGGCAACTACTCGATTTCTCCTAGTCAGCAGAAAATGTTCCTGTCAGGGTCTCAACCATAATTGGCCTGAGTTCTGAGCAAGGAATACAGAAGGATCGTAGAAATACTGATCAAAAGTATGAGGAAGTTGGCAATGTACTCTTTAAAAACCTAGCATTTTGAACTCCCTCCCATCAATATTAATGAAAAAAAGAATAGAGGAATTAGACTACAAGATCCTTTTCCAGAATCAAAGGAGATGATGTCCAGAAACGCCTTTTCCAAACTAAGTTGTGTTATACAAATGTAAGGTAGTAATTATGGTGCCATGATTAAGTAAAATAGTATCCTGTTTCTATCATTGAAGCACAATGCCTTGAATAAAACGTCCATGGACTAGAGATTATTAGTAATCATTTTAATCTTAATGTTTTATAAAATAATGGACATTTAGCTATTGCACTGGCAGGTGGCTATATTGAGCCCATTGCATATCACTTATATAATTCAACTAGAGGCCTGATGCATGAAATTCGTGCAAGAGTAGGCCTTCCTTCCTCCTGGCTGCTGGCACAGGCTTCCCTCTGGCACCCGGGACCTGGGTTTCCCTTGCAGCCCCAGCTTTGTCCAGAAGGTCGTTCGGTCTAATTAGCATATTACCCTTTTATTATTATAAATATTCATGTGGCACTAGGATGCGTTCTGGAACAAAGGACAAAAATAAGACAGGATCCCTGCACAGAAGGCATACAATCGAAAAGGCATAAAGATACAAGGGATAGAACTATAGGAACAGAAAACTTAATCTTTAAAAAATTTTGTTTCCATGAAAAATTCCCAAGTCTTTGGTGATAATCGATGGAATGCCTTAATGAAGTAGGTTTTGGAAGCGGGTCTTAAAGGGAAGGTGCTCATTTGTTGTAAGAAAGGACGGATTTGTTTCTGGGACATGATGACCAAATGATTCTTGACGGATGGCAGGAAGAGGCTTCCCTGGGTGTCAGAATATTCTGGGCGGCAACAAAGAAGCTAGGAGGTTTCAGAACAAGATGGTAGCTTCTGCCCTTGAATTGATTTCATTTATTTTAAAAATTCAGTTAACACCGAAGGGAATGTGGGCCTTTTCGGTTTCTAAAA